TTTGAAGACAGTGGTGGCCAAACAGTGTGTTTTGCTGAATAACAAACTGTAAACATAGCTGCTTTTTGTTATTATAATGGAGGGATAATTGACATTCTGGTGTTGATGTAGTTGATGTTTTACTTAAAGCTTTAAAAGAATTCAAAATACTTTGTTATTTTGCTCTAATACAGGCAAATACGTTGGGGTTTTTTTTCTCAGAAACATTTCTAAGTGGATTTTAAGACTGCAAATTGTATTTGCTCTGAAATATAATTGAATATACGAAGTAGGCACTTGTAAATTCTCATTATGGGTGAGAAAAGGATAGAGTTCAAACAAAATGTAAATGTGACTTGTAATCATGAATGCTATGAGTTCTGTAGAGCAAGATGTGCATCTCATTGATCTGTGATGTCTTTTTGGTTTGCTTTGTCGGCAGCAGCAGTGTGGTCAAGGATGAGCGCATCCTATGGCTGCAGTCAGCTGTGCTCTGGCCCACCTGCTGGTCACTGACCCATTGCTGCATTTGGGTCTCTTTTGATCTTGGATACCAAAGATTCCTGCCTTTATTCTTTTTCTGGGTTAAAAATCCATGCTTGTGATTGTACTAATTGTTGATACTGAACCACTCCATTTGGATATGTAGACTTTTACAAGTGCACAAAGATCATTCAGATAAGGTATTCGAATTCAGAATCCTTTTTTGGACTCTCTTAATGTGAGAATTAAGGTCAAGTATTCTTAAAAAAAAAAAAAAAACTTTTACTGCGTAGTCCATATCCAGAAAGCTGTTTGTAGGTTTTAGATAGTTCCTGTGAATAACGTTAGCTCTTTTCACCTATATAAGGATGTTTTTCAACATGTAAAGAAAAGCATTTAGGCAAGCTAAAGCTGATGAAAGGCTTGCATAGTGAAAAAGATGCAATTTTTCCAATTATACTGTTGTTCTAATAAAAGATTATATTACTGTAAACCCATTTTACTTAAATATTTTGGGCACTGTCTGGATATTGTAATAAAAGTGTGTTTAAAAAGTATGATTAAAAATAGTGTTTCTGAAGGGGAAAGGTAATACAATCTCAAATCATTGAGGTTTGGGATTTTTGATTGGTTTTGCTCTGTATTTTCAGAGGTGATAACAGAAAGGTTTGATACTGTGCAAAGCGGTAGGAAGACGGTATTTAACAGATACCAGAGCTGTGCATGGTAAAGTGAGGAAGCATTTGGTTCTCAGTGCTGCAGTAAGAAGAGTGATGATAAAGAAATGATGTGTAAAATAATTGTCTTTCATTTGCAGTTAACTTTTTCAGGGTTTTCTGAATGATCAGCTGAGGGAAAAATAATGTTGATTCCCAAAATGTACTTTGTTGTAGTTAATTGTCTAGTTACATTTTCTTCAGACCTAAAACTAAAAGTCTTATATCTTGGCTTGTATTTCTACTGTGGAAGTTTTTAGGAAATGTTTACATTTAATAGAAGCCTTTGCACTTTTCCAGCATCTTGATATGAAGCTGTGATAGCGCACTTTGAACTTTTAATGAACATGGAAAATGTCCTTGTGGTAAAATTGATTTAAAAAAAAAAAATTTTTAACTGTTCGAAGTCGTTTGGGGGCAATGGGAAGAAGCCTAGGTTTCCTCTCCTACATTGTTAGCATGGTTAAGAAGCTAAAAAAAAGTCAAGATAACTGATGGTGCTTGTGTTGCAGAGATTCTGTTTATTGCCCAATGTGAAGTTGAACACAGGGTTTTACAAAGAGTATGTATCTGCTTGCACGTCTTGCTGTACTGGTTAAATATGTTATTATCTCAAGTGCTCATCATTGTCAAAAAGCTGATGTAGCGCAACCATCCATGGAGTTCTGTGAAATCAATAGTTTGAATGGGCTTGCGTCTGGTTCAGGCAAAATTAACTGGGCTAACTAAAACTGCAGAAACTAACCTGACTGACCTTTCATGAAGTGAACTGGGAAGCTCTTAGATATGCGCTCTGCCAGCAGAACTGCAAGGCAAGAGCAAGTTGGTGCAGGAAGGGGGATGGGGATAGTGACATTTTGACTCGGCACCATTCCTTGTGGCGAGAGCAGCTTGTGTGCGCTCAGAAAGTGATCTTTTGCATGTAGGAATACCGCTTGTTTTCATAAAAAAGACAGTCCCTCCCCAATTTTTGTTTGTTCTTAGCAATGCACAAATGTTTATAGGAAGCAAACCAGTGAATCATTAGAAATGTTCTTTGTACAATGTTTCCTTAAACTGCAGGCTCGTGGTGTGCTGGAATGTGAGGATATCTTTGTGGCTGTTTCCTTCATCGGTCTGATTCTTTTGAAAGCATCTTACTCTGCTTGTATTTTCCATACTAGAGGTTTACAGAAAAATGTTTATACTACAGCTTCAAACATGTACTGAAATGCTAGAAAACCTAAAGAATTTCTGTGGATTCCTTATATTAAGATCAGATGTGGGAATGTCACATTGAATATCTGCTGTACAAAACTCAGATGATTTTAATGGAAAATAAGAATCTGAAATGGTATGTGCCTAGCAGCAAAATAAAAAAGCAGGGGGAAGGGAATGGATAGAGAGAATTATATAATGGACCAGAATTACACCTTGGTGGTTACAAGTCCATTTCTCTGCTGTGCTGACGGAGAAAACAATTACTGCATTTATGTCTTTTTCAATGACGTGAAACTAGTTTCTAAAGCGGAGTATTTGATAGCAGCCTGCAGTGCAAGCAGCACAGTAATCCATCTGATCAAAATGTCCTGTGGGCTGAGGCAGTTTGAGCTGCAGGGCAGTTTGAACAAAAGTTTTTAAAAGTGTGTAACAACACTTAGTACATTTTTAATTTTTCAATAATAATTAATCTGTCAACTGAAACTTGGCTTTCATTGATTTTTATTACTCTAAAAGCTAACCTAGAATATAAATAGCATTAAGATTAGCAATCTAACTGAAGTTGATGGAGAAGTGCATAAGCAGAATACTGAATGTAAAGTATTATTTTGCATAAGAAAGCTTATTTCATCGTGAGTCAAAACAAATGGAAGGCTAATGGTTATTGAAACAAAATTTATTAACTTTAGTAAAAAACAGTAAAATGTTAGAATTCCGTAGTTAATATCATGTTGACGTGTGCTCAGCAGGCATTTCATGGACATCATCTAAGTTAGTGTGTGGGTGTGTGCGTGTCTTTATGTTTGGAAGGGGAACCTAACCTTTGTGTTTGGGAAACCACAGACAGTCACTAGTAATCTGCTTTAGGGTAGGAAGGCGTTGGCAACCCTAGCCAAATTTGCCACATTGATTGCAAATGGTCAGGACCAACCTGTCCCTGACTCCTCTACCTCATCTGTAACAAGTAATAAAAACCCGCTGCTTCTGTGGTTCTCGCCACTCAAACTTGTGTTGGCCCCAGCTGGGTCGGGGCGTGCTCCAGTGAAGGGAACTGGAGCAAGCCCCAGTAGCTTTCAAAGCAGGTTGTATGCTCCAAATTAGGTTTACATAAACTGTCGCTAACTGTTCCATGCTTGGGAAGAAAGCCTTTAACTTTGGAAGTATGAATTATTTGGGGGGGGGGGGTTAATACCTTTTGATAGTATTGATTAGCAGTCTTTTGTGACCTTGGACCTTCCTGAGAAGAAGGGAAAGGGTGGGAATGGACATTGCTGGCAAATCCTAACTGAAAATGCTTAGGTTAAAATTTTGTGGCTGGAAATTTCATATCAGATTATGACATTTTGTTCCTGTCCAAAACTACTAAGAGAATAGTTAGTAGCAGGTGATCTTATATCAAAAGAGAGAAGAACATTCTTCCTCACAGATGTAATTGTATTCAGAGAAAAATATTTCTGTGGAATGCTGATGGTCTCTGGAAAGCTTATGAGAAGCATGTATCTGAAGGAGGAGAGAATTTGTGAAGAAAGGAGCACTTGTCTACTTAGTTGCTACAAAGACTTTTTTTTTTTTACCTGCAGTATTTTATTTTGAGCTTTATGCTTCTCCTTAAAGAATGTTGTTCCTTGAAAATGCAAAGCTTTTTTGAGGTGTGTGAAGATTACTGGTCTCTTCTGTCTCCAGTCGGTTTTCTCCTACGCTTATTAGAGGCTGCTCTTCCAAACTCATGTCAAACTCTCTTTCCTTTGAGTTTATCTGGGGTCTTCATTCTCTTACATGAACAACTTGGAGGCTGGAAGAACAATCCGAAAGTTTTCCTGTTTTTCTAACACAGTATCATTCTTCATCTGCATGACATTAGTCTTAATTTTTGAGACCTTCTGTGAGCCTCTTAGTTCTTTCTAAACAAGACTGGTTTTGTAAAAGCTTAAGATCACTCCATTTATTGTTGCAGTTGTGGCTCATTATTTCTTAATTTGTCACTTCAGAATGGATTATTAGGATAATGGGATAAATTAGGATACAGACTTAAGTTTATGTTAGCAAAATTTTTAAGCTTTACAGTTTATAAAAGGTAGAGGATGTTGATTTAAAGATCACCTCCTAGAATGTGCTGTGACTGTGTTTTCTAAACGCTCTGTTAAAAATGGACCTCATAGAACCAAATTAAATATTTTTTTATTTATAATTATTTTATTTGAAAAGACCACTTATTGAAAGTGTTTTTGAATGTATAATGATACAGCTGTAATAATCTTTCAGGTATGCCTTTTCTTAGTGATAGAAGTAGACAGGTCTACATCAGTTGCATTAAAATGTTGGTTAGAAGTAGATTGGTGAAATTGCATTAGGATTCTGCCATGAGTGCTACTGCAGAGAATTTAAATGGCCTTTATTCAGGTTCACTTACGTTCACTTTATTATGTTCACTTTTGGAAACATATACCTTTCTAGTTTGTCAGTTTTCTAGCACTTCTATCACCCCAGTGTTTGCTTTGGAGCAGCCAAAGTTAGTTTTTTATATTTTCAGTTAGTAAATCACACTGGTTTTCTTTTTAAAAAATACTATATTCCAGCATTCTCATTATATGCTTTTGACTACTTTTGGGTCTTTTGGATAAGGTGGTGTCAGGGATCATCAGTATCTAAGCCTCAGAACAGTGATTTTGGTTTTTGTGCATTAGAAACTTCCATTGAAGTTATTTGACATTCATCTTTGTTCTCTTGTAGCCCTGTTCTCTGTTTCTAAAGCTGTTGCACGTTCACCTAGCTTTTTTTGATACCCTAGAATGGTTAGTTCCCTGTGTTTTTGTAACTAGGTCTCACACACCTCTTGTTTTAATGCAGAGTGCTGGCAAACAGCTTGTGATGTTATGGTCAATTTTTTTGGAGCTTCATGTCTCTTCAAGTTGGTCTTCTAAACATGAGATTGTGTTTTTTTCTTGATGTAAATTTGTACATGATAAACTAATAGACCGATGTAGACATAGCTGACTTAGTCCAAAGCTGGTTGAGTCCTCACGTTTCTACCCTGGCCTCGGTGTGGCTTTGAGCTAGAACAGAGGCAGTGTTACCGGTTATTTATTTATTTATTTATTAAATTATTTTTCTGTCTCTCACCTGTCAGCAGTCAGTGCTTTAGAAACATAATCCTTTTGAATCAAGTATTTCAGTAAATCTAGTATGAAACATTTGTGATGAAGAACCAAAATGTTATGTTAGTGTAAATGGTTAGTAGTTAATGACTGTCCAACTAATTTTAAAATGACTCATTTTCAATGGAAAATTTTCAGACAAAACCAAAAACAAGGAGAGCAAAATTAAGATGAGTGATTCAGTCTGACACTGACTCAGCAGATGTGTCAAAAAAGGTCAGCTATTGAATGAAGAGTACAATTAACTCTTTTTTTCCTTTTCTGTGCTTCCTCAAAATCTCTTATGTAGAGGTAAAATTACTGCTTATGACAAATGGGATTGTAAAGTCATTCAAATGGAAGGGACCTCAGGTATAGTTCACGCCCCTGACTGAACTTGGACAACGTTGCCTAGGGCTTCATCAAGTTGGATCTTGATTTGATTATTTTTTTGTGATGAAGAAAAAGCAGTTAGTTGTCAAACTTTATTCTTGTATTGGAGATACCAATATCCATGAAAAGAAAAAACATTTCAACATTTAATAACCTTTTCTGAAATATAAAATTAATCTTTGGAAAAATTCACTGATGCATGAATTTATGAAGTATGGGAAGCATGTGAAGCAACATACAAAGACTATCTTGTAACTGAAAATTTTTGTTTTTAGAGCCTTGATGAATATGAAGATGATGAAGCAGGGCAGAAGGAGCGAAAGAAGGAGGATGCTATTACCCAACAGAATACGATACAAAATGAGAGTTCCAGTGCAGATACCCCTGGCTCATACTTACTACAGGTGAGATCTTGACACTTGCTCGTTTTGATATTTTACTTGGTTTTTAAAGTCATAATATCTTCTTCTTTGTTCTCCTACTTAATGGTAGATTATACCCTATATAGAAACAAACATGAAATTCAGGAGTTGTCACATTACTAAAACCAGAGTATGAGGTTCCATTCCCCAAACTCAACACTACTGAGACTGGTTTCGGGGAAGAGAATCCCTTGTTTCTGTAGGGGCTTTGAAGGTAGAGGTATTGATTGATGTCCACCAAACACTCATTTGATAAGAGGAAAAGAATCCTGGAGATTCAATTGAGAAATACTTGTAGTTTTAGAAAATTCAGTAAGTGGAGGTAAACTTTTCAAATCAGGACCTAATTTCCCAATTTAATTTATTGTCAATTAACAAACTTCTAATTACTGACTCTGGTATTGAAACAAGCACACACACTTAGGGAAAACGCTCCTTGCCCTTTGTGAAACCTGTTCTCCCCTTTTTTTGTTCTCCAGTCTCCTTACCACAGGTTACACTGTCCTGCAGCCCTCCCCCCATCAAAATCTTGCCAATTATGCCCTGTACACCTCTCCTGCATACTATACTACCTGTGGCACATGTTCTCTTTCCTTTCGTGCCCTTAGTGTCTTTAGCCAGTCTTGTTTCTCCTTCTCTTCTGTTACCTAACAGCGTGTGTAAACCTGGCTGTACACACTGAGTCCATCTAGCTCTGCCTCTTGCCTCTAACAGAGGGAATAGCACATGCATAGGGAGAAAAATACACAGAGCAAGCCCATAGTGATAGTTTTCAAACCACCAGTGGGATATCCTGAACCAGAGGGGGCATCACTGAATTTAGTGGGTCTGGATGCACTTTCCTTCTAAAATTTTGCCCGGACTTTCATATGCTCATGGTGCATTTAACATTCAGAAGAGCCTAAGGCAAAAAGGTCTACAGCTTAATTACCTGGAATGTGAAGAACAGTCTCCTTTTGTTTAAGTTGAACCTGTCATTTGCCGTGTGTTTCCATGTGATTTCACCAAGGTGTCCCAGTGGAAGACATGGGGAACAACTGCTTCCTCTTTATGTGACTGAGTGCCGCAGAGAGAGCACAGCCCCTCTCAGCTGTCTTTTCTCTAGGCTGAAGTGTTCTTTTTTATTTAGCTGTTCTTTGTACAGGAGATATTCAGTAACGTTCGGTACTTTTTCCGGTTTGAACTATATTTTATTTGGGATCAGGAAACAGAACTGAAGAGTTCAGTGCAGCATGCAATTGTAGAGTGGTTTAATGGTGGTTTTTGTTTTATTCTCTGTTTCTTTCCTGACAATTCCTGATAGTCTGCCTGTTTGTCTGCAGCTGAGCACTGAGTTTACTTTTTTTGTTGTGTTTGTCTACTCTAACTTAACATTTTGGGGTTATCTGTGAGTGATAATAGCCAGCTCAGAGGCTGATGCATATGTAAATTTAGAAGCATGTTTACCTTTTTGTCTCACTTTGTGCTTATGTACACTAAATTTCATCTCCCGTTTTACCTCCCAGCCACTCCCAATAGAGAAGTCCTGCATGTTTTCACAGTTGACTCTCATCTTTTCTGTTCTGAGTAGCATCTGTGGACATCTGCTTCCCGACTATATTGAAAAGCACAGGTCCCAGAACAGGTTCCTGTGGAAGTCTTCTGGGTACTCCATCCACTGCAAAAGCTGACCATCAAGGCCCACCATTATTGTGTCTTTTCACCAGTGAAGGTCTTTTCACCATGGAAGGACATTAGCTCTTATTGCAGTACGGCTTAATTTCTTTAAGAGGCTTTGGGGAATGCGTTTTTGAAACTCAGTGGGCTGCCAACCAACTTTCTCTTCTGGACATTTTATCACTTAAAAGCTGTATTAGATTTGTGAAGTGTAACTATTTTACAAATACGCTGGTGACTCTTCCACACTATATCATATTTACTCATCGATTCCCTAATTGTTTTAGACTTACTAGCACCACTTTATTCAGTATAAATATCAAGCTTACTGGTCTATAGTTCTCTCGTCTACTTTAGAATCTGCTTAAAGATAGTGATTATGTTAAACACTGGTACTAGGGCAGTTTTAAGTGAGAGATTTTACATAATCTTGAGTAGTTCAGCTGTGACATTTTTCATTAATATCAATAGTTCCTTCAAACCTCAAGGAGTAAATACCTTCTCATTCTGGCAATTAAGGGTTTTTTTTTCCATTTTGTTAATTTGTTTTTAAGTTCTACCAGTGCTTCTGGTAGACCCTTTGTGTCTTCCATGAAGAAGTACTCTAATGTGAGACATTTACCATGCTATTCCATGGTGAACACCGACAAAAATAGTTCTGCAGAGAAACTGTCTCTGAGCACGCCTCATAAAACTTGATCTATTGTCTTTGCAGATTCTTTGGCAGGATTCCTCATTCTGAAATGTTTTTATACTTTTTCCAAGTTGTTTTTTAGACTCTTTCTTATTGTGTTCACTCTGTTTTCATTTCTTCAAAATTAGTCTGAAAGTTGTCGATTTTCGTTTCCCTTAGTGGCATTATTACATAATGCTTTGGCTATACTCCTATGCCCCTGTTTTTTCATCCATATTTTCTATTCTTCTTGACCAGCAATCTCAACTTCTATTTACCAGGCTGTCTGTATTAATTGTATCCTACACGGTTCCAAGTTTGTCACCTCCGTATTCAAACAGGCACTGCTTCTTTGTTGACAGAGCACAGCAGGGGTGTCTTGTCACTGACAATACAGAAGAGAGTCCCAGTCCTCAGATCTGGCAAAGACCCAGGATGGCACATGTACAGAACAGATGGAACCTTAGAAAGTTGTAGCTGCTAAGACTTAATCAGTTTATTACTGACTCTGTCAACTCGCTTTTTATGAGAAGACTTACAACTTGCCCAATTTGAACAGAATTTGACAGCAGTGTTATTTCAGCTTTGATGACTTAGTTTCCTTTTGTTTCTCCTCTGTGCAACAGTTAAGCCTAATTCTGTTCTTAAAAGTAGAATTTGTTTTAGATCTAAGAATTCAGTCAATTCTAGTTGCCATTGACCAATATTTATTCTAGTTCTATCTACTAAGCAGAATAAATAAATTTCTGTAGTTACAGACATGTTCACTGACTTGTCCATTCTATTATAATTTTATGACATTTGTAAATACATAATTACTGTGACATTTACAGGGGAAACAAGACAGTTAATATTGACTTCATGTATGATGGACAAATATGTTCCTGAATAATGTTTTGTTTCCAATGCTTAACCTGCTCTTTCAGTCGTGTTTTAACATTGTCAGAAGTTGCTGTTCTCCTTCTCGTGGGCAAAATGCACAGTTTTTGAAAACTGCCTGAATTTGAAGTCCTTGATCCAAAGCACAGAGATAAGAGATTTGTTTAAGAATAGATCTAAAAATATACAAGACTTGAGAGTATTTTCCCCGCAGCAGAACTATTTGGCTGAAATCAGCTTCTCAATTATTTTATATTGGAAATATGGAAGATGATAGGTCTGGCAACATTATAAACATTGAAAAACCATTACAATTGGAACTGTTACTTAACTTTAGCAAAAGATAGTGTGGAAAGCCACACTTCACCAGGTGAATCAACCTTAATCCATTCCCAAACACAAGTGTTACATCTGGCTCTGACTTCCTTGCTTGATTTTCCTCCTATTATGTAACGAAGCTTAGAACTCTTACAAATTAGCTAAAAATTTGTAATGCTAAGGACAAGCATAGTTAAAGTTACTACTTTAAAGTTACTAAGGTTACTACTTTAACTAGGAATCAGTGGAGCCTGGCAATTATATAAATCTAGCTCTTGCTTAGCAGAGATGATAAAATTAAAAATAGTGCAAAGCTATTTGATAGCAATGTCTTTCTTGCAGTTGGACAGAAATTATATGTTCAGGGTAATGAACGTTGTCTTTTTTGTTAATTGAAGAGGGTGTTAGTACACAATATAAAGATAACTTGCATCAGAAAACCTATAAGATTTGGCTGGAAAAACAATTAGTTTACTGATGATTTTTTTTTTTTTTTAAAGTCTCTTAGAAGACTTGCTGAGTTCCAGAATGTGGAAAAATGCTACTATTGTGCTAATGCCCAAAAAACCCCCACCAAAACCCACCATATGCAAGGCCTTAAATTTTGCATCAAAGCATTCAGGTTGTGCTCGGGTGACCATGGTCATCTGCCTCCTGGAAAACCCACCATATGCAAGGTCTTAAATTTTGCATCAAAGCATTCAGTTTGTGCTCGGGTGACCATGGTCATCTGCCTCCTGGAATTCAGTGGTTTGGGGAATATTGTAAGAGACCAGATGCACAAATATGTGCCCTCTTTGGTGTAATCCTGTGGCAGTAGGGTTAACATAACTTCTGTGTCATTATAGAAGTGATATCTGAGCATGATAGCATGTTGTGGTGTCTGTATTACTTTGTGGTGGTGTTAGAAAATTGAGAGCAAATTGGGAAGGCTGAGAAGATTAATCCAAAGTCAACATAAAGCTTTGCAGTGGGAGACACGTGTAGGTCCTCCATCCCTTAAAACCTTCAAATCACAACTGGGTGTTTTTCTGGAACTTATGCCATGATCACACAGAACTGTCATTCTCAATACCTTGGAAGGAGTTGGACATCCTTTGCTTCATGTTATCTTTGCTTCCTTTCTGCTTGCATTTTATTTCAAATGTTGTAGTGTCTGTGAATGCTAGTTGTTGTGCTGTGCACCGTATGAACACACTGCAAAAAAACTTCATCAGCTGTGAACAGTGTGACATTTAAGTGTAAGATATGGGAATAGTTCAGTAAATATGTCTTGGCAAAAGCACCAAGAAACAACAAGATACTTGAGATCTTCAGAGTTATTTTTGACATTGGCATGGGGATAGGGTTTACTGTGTTCTAGATGTGTGTTTTTCTCCCAACTGATTACAAAAGGGGTCTCACTAGATCAGATGTAGGCGTCTAAAATTAGATGGGCTGAATCCTTTCCTCTCCT